TTTAGGCAGTCTTGTGTGATTAAATGGTTGTTTTGTGTGATTTTAGTGAATTAGTAATGAACTTGTGTAATCTGTTAACTAATGTGCAAAGAGACATCGCAGTATAAGCAAGTATGTACACAAAATGAGTTTGAGTGTGTTTGAAGAGTTTAAAGTGTGAACAATTGTAATTATAGTAAGAAAGAAGATTAATGAATGGTAAAAGTAGCAGTGTTGAGCCAAAATGGCGACGACAGTACGTGCGAGTTAGAGCCAAAATGGTGGCGCCCATGTGAAACAACGTGAAACAAAAAGGCAGACTAGTTAAAAGAAATATTAGCTATGAGTTTCATGTTTTTGCTGTTATATTAATGTTTATGTTTTGTCATAATCTTCATATATGTAAATTAAATGTGTGAGTTAAAAAAGGAAGCATTTGTAACAGTATAATGTGAATGTTTACATTTATCCAGTATATAAAATGCCTGATAAAATGAACAGTACATATGCCATCGGACATATGCATATCATCACCCTGCAGGATACATGTTGCTCATGGGGCTGCGAGACGATAAATAAGTAAAGCGAAGCTGCGGCAAAATAAGGAATAAAAAGAGTGAGGATATGGTCAAATTAGTAAATAAATTTTAAAAAAGTGCGACTGCTGCTTTCTCCGTTCGCCCTGCTGGAGAGGAACAGTCTGCGCAAAAGAAGCGCAGAGTAGGTTTCATAGAATACAGCTCTCATCTGATTGGCTGAAAGGTATGAGTAGTCCTGACTCTGGCAGGAAAGTCTCAAAAATACACACACGTATCCAGGGGGAGTCGTACGTGAAAGAGAATTTGCACATTCTCATTCAGGATGAACTCGTGAAACACTTTAAACTTTCAAAACTTTTTGTACACTCTTATACATTTGCAAATGGTGTTTTGTATTTGTGAAACGTATTTTATGAAAATGTATTTTTATTTTGTGCATGTGTATTTTTTTAATGTGAATATAAATAAATATTTTACGCACGTGAATTTGGTTTTATGCACGTGAATTGAGCTACGCATGTGTACATCGTGTCTTTTGCGTGAATTTCTTTTGAGACTAATCTGGTTCCATAAGTCAAAGCACAGCACATCTCAGTATTAAGCTGTGGTCACACTGAGCTTTTCCTCCCGTAGACTTTCATTCAAACGCATGCAAATGCATCAGAACCGAAACGCAAGGTCGTGTCAAGTTTCGCAGGTCGCTGCGGTGCAAAGTTCAAGCTTGGTGAACTCTGACCTGCGAAATCGCATCACTTGACCGCGTGAGACCAATCGAGGATCAAAACATGACCTCTCTGGACAGAAATTTAAAACATGGAGCAATCGCTCGCTTTTTTTTAATGTCTAATAATCTTGTTTAATCCCGCCGCTTTTCGCAGCGCCGTATGACAGAATTTCGCACACACAAACTCTAGTGTGACTGCAGCTTTATGGAGATAATATTAGCTTATAGTAACAACTGTCAAGAATTCTTCCGGACCGTCAGATTCATTCACTGCACCTGCACTGCCCTAATCACCAGAATACTAATCACCTTCACCTGTTGTTCATCACCCTGCTCACACTACATAAGCCTGGACCATTCACTTATTCACTGTCCGATTTAATTGTTAGTTCCTGAACTCATTTCGCTTCAGCTTGATAGCATTTACCTGTTGTGTCCTGTCTGCCTGTTCATTATCTCGTATCTGCCTGACAGTTATCTCGTCCTGTGAATCCTGTTCTATGTTTACCTCCACTGGTATCATCTTGTTTCAGTTACCACCCGAAGTTAAGTTCTGTTTGTATTGTTTTTCTTTTGTTGGTATTGATGATTATTCTGTTCTGAAAAACCTCCTCAATGTTTAAAGTATCATTAAATATCCATTCTTTATGTTAATCTGTAGGCTACCTGAGCCCGAGGCGTCATATGGAGATGCTGGAGGCTCGTATAATTAACAATAGATGTCAACGAAATTTTTAAAACCTGATTTACGCCTATTATCGCAGTTTTCTTATTTTAAAAAATGTCATTTTTGTTTTGTTCACGAAAAGCGGAATCCCTGCATGTCTAAATATGACGCTAAAGGGGTACCCTGTGCGCAAATAACTTACACCGAGGGTTCCTGATCAAGCGTCAATATGACAAGTTTGGGTGTGAGAACGTGTTGTTATGCACACTTGTCAAATACAGCTCATTCTGAATTCTCTGGACACATTTTTCAAAGAAATCTTAGCAGCTGAATAACATTATTATGTCCAAGGCCATTAAACATAACATTACAGAAGATGTCCGGCCTTTAATAATACTAAATATCTGCTACAGATCATTGATTGCAAAACATTTATTGTGACTTAAGTGAAATTACATTATACATTTTAAAATGAGCAAGTTGAAAAAAATATTAAATAAGAGTGCTTTAAAAAATTTGACCAGTCTAAAAAAACGTGTTAAGACGTAAATTGCTTGACTTTTAAGGTTTTATGACAGTAATGTGCACAAGCGGTTATCTAGTTTATTTAAACTGAACTCAGATTAGTTAGATCAAATGATCTTTAACTTGCTGTTATGGAACCAATTTAAGCGTGGATGTTTAGTTCAGCTCATTGAAGTCAGACTGTTGACTTTAATCCCAGCTTTTCTTAACCACTTTTATGAAACAGCCTCCAGGACAGAGTTTGGACACCCCTGGTCTAGTCTATCAATTCAAGTGTGAGTATGAAGCTCAAGTATTAGCAACATTAACAATTACTTGGATGTGCTGCAAAGTGGAGGGTTTAGGATTATAGGAGGACTATAATCAATTGGTTCACTT